ATTGTACTAAAATATTGACTGGAAGTCATTGACAATGAATTCCAAGTATCCTTGGGTTCATGTAAACTGCTAGCACCTTTTTATACTTCAGAAGTTGTTGTAACTCACTGTCAGCGGTGGTTTCTCCTCTATGTAATAACATGGGCGATCTGACTGGTTAATAAATTGATTTTTGTTCAGTAATGTGATTATAGATATTGGATTGCAAAATAAACTATAACAGAATTACATTGTTGACTAAATTGCAACTTTCCAGGCATTCTCCACATTCCTCCCACTCATTCAGCCATTGTCAGTTTCAATTTTTTTTCAGGGTTTCAGCAAATCAGATCCCTGAGCAGGGAACACTGAGCTAACACTAGCAATTGATTAATATTGTAAACAAGAAAATATTTCCATGACAACTGTTGAAAGGCTCGAGTAATCTCAGCTCGGTTTATCGGGAATTGATGGTGAGGGCATGGGTGCAAGTCCATCTCTCCCCTGGCGAACAAGCTCTTTATCAGCAACATTTTCTGGAATTCAGTCAGTCTTAAAAGGTCACAAAATTTCAAACAGTGTCTTACTCATTATGATCTGGTTATCAGAATTAGTCAGCAGGTGGAAGAACTTAAAGCTGATAGCCCTGAGTCTAATAGAATTTGGTATTTTCTCAGAGAATGAAACAACTGTGCGGAATATGTCCAGCAAACAATCCCAATAACAAACGGGTTGAAGAAGCAGGACACAAGCACAGTGAATAGCAGATTAAATGAAGCAGATAAAAGGTGCAGTTTTTCATGCTAAACATGATTTCACATGGATACATTTGATAGATCTTAAAAAGCAGATTATTTTGCAAAATGAAACACATGAACAAACAACTGCAACACTCCTCATAGTTCACAACAATGATGTGTGATTTCACGCCATCCCGATGTGAAAGGTGCTATATAAATACAATTTGTTGTTATTGTTCCTAAAAATGTTCAGGTACATTTGCTAAAATTGCATTGTGCTATGTATTTTATGGAGGAAATAAAGGTTAAAAGATGTGCAATAATAAAATAGTTCTGAAAAACAACTCTAACTGTTAAAGCTTATCACAGTTGCATACAGCTCTGCCATGTTAAAAAAAACTTGACCTTGAAACGAGCAGGGTGTAACTTGCAGTTTACGATTAAGATAACACATAAATGGAACTTTTTGTCATGGTCTGTCAATGTTTAGTTACTATGTTCTCAGACATTTGATCTTGTGTTCTCAGCACTTGAAAATTCAAAACTCTATCATTCTGTACTTACCAACTTTCATCTGCCACTAATTAAGCTGTCGATCAAAGCTAGGCTAATGCAAAGAAGCATAAATATACCCGCATAGTATGTGCAATGAATACTCTTAGATTCTAATGCAATGTATTCATTGGAAATCAGTAATCAAATCCATTTGATTGTGTATAACAAGTCAAAGTTACAATTTACCAGGAAGCACTATAATATAAGTTCTGTGGTTTAAAGTGTATTAATTGTAAGATTCTTTGGAACGTATTAGCTGCACAGTCAATTGTGCAATTTGAAAGTGATTATTTAAGAGTGTGTAGCAAATGACATAGATCTTTTTACTTCCTTTCTTTTTCTCTCACTCTGCCCTTCCATAACATATACGCATGCTTAACAGGTATTCACACAGGCTCTTACAAATATACGTGTTTTTTTATTTAGGTTTTGCAATTCTCCTATGGCTGTAAACTGTAATGATGTTCCTTATGACACAATTTTACATCGCATTGGAATATAATTATCAAACAAACCTGCATTTCATTTTGAAGGTGCTCCTTAAACTAGCTAACTTCCAATTAGCAGTTACCACATCTAAAGTGATTTAATCACCAATTACACATAATGACCTTGGAGACTTGAACTGTAACAGTTTAAACACTCCTAGCAATGCACTGAGGCAGACAATCTGCCATTAAAATATATTAGCACTGGCAGTAAGCCAGCACAGCGAAATGAGACTTTGTATGCAGCAAGTCAAGTGTATCTATCCCTACTCTACCCCCTACACCACCACCATCCAATCTGTGAGTTATTGCCTGGACATGCCTCAGCATGTGTCTTGTTACTCTTTACCTTACATAAATATCTGACAACATAAAACCAGACCTGGCACAGTTTAGGAACACTTTTTTGGCAATAGGTTAGAGTCTGTTTCAAATGAATCATTGGGAATTTCTTAAAGATCCCTTCAGAGCCTTATTTAGATTTTAAAATACAATAATAAAGCAACATTGAGCAGCGGAGGCTCTATTGCCAAGGCTGAGTAAAACCAAATAAATAGGCAACATCATTAAAGTGTAACATTTTTGTTCACACATAAAACGTGACTAGTCTGGACATGTACTACATGCCATTTCCTTATCCTTTCCCGTAAGAGTTCATTGACCTGGAACAGTTAAAAAGTTCCAGTGTTTTTCAGAAAAATCATTTGTAAAAGCATTCTGCTCACCTGAATTGACAGCTGTTTCATATTAACTTGATCACTGTTGCGCTCTCTGAGGTTTGAATGGGTCTGTGTGCTTCACAAATGACCTGATCGGAGAAATGTATAATTTTGAGCTTGTATTCTAGGGATCTGAACTCAAATGGTTTGGTAATTGTGCTCAGCATCCTTTGTGTTTTGTTTATTGATGCCTCACTGTTTAAACATAATAGGTCTCTTCAGTTTCCCCTTGGTGAGTTCTATTCCTTCCATGGCATACATGTGTCTCCTAGTTTTATTTCAGGACCTTGTATTTGTCCATAATAACTTTCATTTGCCAGTGATCAGCCCATGTGCATCCACTGTTAAGCTTTCATTTGAAAATATGGTTATGCTACATTAGATGGCTTCTCTTTATCACTTTGGAAATCACCTACTCAAAAAGTCCACAAGATTATAATAATAATAATAATCCTTCCATTTGATGTAGCGCTTTTCGCGTCTTCTAGACGTCTCAAAACACTTCACAGAATATACTGTAAAGTGAATTGATTGTATATTTGTGGGTGAAACATGGCAGCCAATTATGCACAGCAGTGATCAAATTATTATTTTATTTATTTTAGGTTAACTCAACAAGACCTACTACTTCTGATGTTGCATTGGCCATCATTTAGTAAGTTATTTCCACACATAATTTACTTCTGATTATTGAATCCATTAGTTTTCCATGGTCTCAATGAGTCTGTAATTGCCAAGTAGAACTCTGTTGTCTTTCTTGCATATTGTAAATATGTTGCCCCTTCCAGTCTATCAGAACATCCTCAATTGCTAATTGACTGCTTCAAAATAATATTCAGTGCTTACCAAATCTCTGCCCTTGTGTTTCTAAATAAACTGGGATATACCGTAGTTCACCCATTATGGGGAATTTATTGTTCTTTAAGTCCTTAAGCCAATGTAGAAACTCTGCTTTGCTAATGTCAAAGTCTTGGATATTTTTGTTTTGTCTGACTTTGGGTATATAATTGCCTTGCATGTTTCCCCACAATATTTTTTTCAATTTCTATTTATCTTTGACAGATAGAGTTGTATCCTGATCTGTGTTACTAAACTCAGGTCTTATACTCCAGGAGGGAGAATTTCCAACTGGGTCTAGATTTTTCTTAGGATTTCAGACCATGCAAAGTTTGAACAAATCTTTGGATAAATTCAGTCTTAATACCAAAGCTGGAATTTTTTTAAGACTTCAAAAATGAGTTTAGAATTGTCCAAAATTTACGCATTTTAAAATGCTAAAGAGAAAATATAATGGGTGAAAATCCCATTAAAGACTGACATTGCCAAAGGCCAATGTGCATAATGGTGAACAGAATTTTTATTGTTAAATCTAGATCTGGGTGGAATTTCTGAACCTTGATGTTATCTTGTCTAAAGCCATATGTGCCTGTGATCTTTTCCAAGTCAGATTGAATGTTGTTGTGCTCTGGCTAAAATAATTAGTTAACAAACTAACAATGGGAATCTAATTTGTGATACTTTGCTCTTCCAGTTTGCAAAACTCATGGCCAGTGAATTACAACTAGAAAGTTGGCAAAGTCCAAAGAAAGGCTAGTGAGTAAAACATGTTGTGCTGGCACAAGGCTGGTTTGGCCTTTTTTGTGTTGAATTTTGGCACATTGGGATTTGAGAATTGCATTGAGTAAGTGAGAATATATAACTCACTGCCTGAAATTGTAGTTGTAGCAGAAAGCTTCGGCATTCCAGCCTCTCCAAGGACTTTCTAAGAGGAAACTCAATGCATGTATGCGAGAGTTGGGAATAGAGGGGTATTGAAGAGAACTCCAGCAGCAGCAGCAACACCAACATTTATGGAGTACCTTTCATGCAGGGTAGGATCTCGTACCGCTTAACAATAGCATAGTTTGACACCGAGCTGGGATGAGAGGGGGAGGTGACTATAGGTAAGGTCGAAGAGGAAAGTCTTCAGTTGCAAGTTGGTGATGGGCAAAGAGGGTGTAAGGCGGAGGGATTGAGACAGAGAGCTCTGGAGGTTCTGGGTAATGTGGTTGAAAACATGTCTGGTAGTGGTGGAGTGAAAGGGTTGAGGGACGTGCAGCCTGAGCTGGCTGAATGAAGGGATTGCCATGTGAGTAGGTCGGAGAGGTAGGAAGATTCCAGGCGAGAAGTGATTTGTAGGTCAGTGTGAGGATCTTGAAATTGATCCATTGTGCGAAAGGAAACGAGTGAAGCCTGACAAGAAGTAGGGTGATAGAGGTATGGTTTGGCACAGAGGAAGATATGAGCGGCTGAATTTTGAATCAGTTGGACTTCGTGAATGGTGGAGCTGGGGAGACTGGCGAGGAGTGTATTGGGGAAGTCAAGACAGGAGAAATTAAACCGGCAGAGACGAGTTGGCCCAAATGGCCTGTTTCGGTGCTGTACAGTCTATGTAATTCCATGTAAAGTAGTAAATTTGTAAGTGTGTGCAATGTACCAATTTACCCATGACAAACACATTAGCAAACTTATAAAAGAAATGAAAAGGGTAATTTAATTTTACATAAATACACCATCAACAACTCATATTTTATATAGTGCCCTTCACCCAGGGTAGCATCTTGGAGAAACTAACAATGTTGAGTTTGATATGTATCCTATGTAAATATGTTATATTTATGAACTTTCACACACAGTCAAATTCATTAAATGTACCAAACAGAGCACAAGAGTGTTTAGCCCACATCAACAAATTAGCCACATGAAGCAGAATCTCCCCTTTCGTCCTCATGTTTGCCATCCCACTGAGTTAGACTCATCTATTGGAAAGAAACCCTTTTCACTTTTTGCGTAAATAAATACATTATCGTATTTTGGTGGTATTTGGAATCTTTCTTAATAGTTTCATTTTTGTTTCTTTTATGACTGTGTTCTCCTTTATCCCGATTTCCTTTTACAACCATCTTCACAAATTCTGAACAATAATCAGTGCTTAACCTTGGTCCAATGTTCTTTTTAAAAATAAAAAAATTCTCTTCAGTAAGGAAATATTCTAAAATTGTATTCTACACTGTAACTCATTGTTGTTTTAGATTAAAAAAAGCCTGCATCTCTTTCTTTAAAGATCAGCTATTTCTTTCCCTTGACCTCCAAAGCCTGTGGTCCAATTATTTTTGCTACTAAGAATTTTTTTTTGTTGTATCCTCAAATACATGCAGAGCTTTTTGATTCTTGTTCCATTGTTAGAGCAAACAGACAGTTTAAAGCAAAAAGCTAAACCTGAAGGCTGAGTTTATTCATGGATTGCTTGGGCATTCCAGGCTCTCCAAGGATTTTATTAAAACTAACATTTAAAGTACAATGTGAAATATTTGTAATATAGTACAAAGCAGAGCCTGTGAATATGATATCAAAGATGAAACTATTACATGAACTGTAGATGCTATATAATAATAATCCTTGCATTTGATATAGCACCTAATCACATTTTAGAGATGTCTCAAAGCGCTTCACAGAACATACTAGTGAATTCACTGTATATTTAGTGGATGAAATACAGTAGCATTGTTGAGCAAACATTGCGCAGAAGACTGGGGCCTAGCACACTGTTTGTACAGGTTTGTAGCAGAGAAGGGCGTTTATAGTGGATTCTGCAGAAAATATATGGACCACATTTTTCTATTGGCCCAGCTCATTGGCCATATATGTACAGTCCTTCTCCAGCCCAATCATAAATGAAAAGACTTTGAAAAGAACGGCTTTGTGCTCTGGGTGTGAAAAGCTTCAAAAGTTTGCTGTGAGTCACTCAGGTAAGAAATATTTCACATTTGAAAGAAAAATACATCACTGTTGTAAAAAGAATCAAACAACAGAATTACCTTCTGCACATAAATAACACAATCCATAACTGTCTCCACCTCTTGTGTCTCTTGTCACCACCTCCGCATGAACCATTTTCAAAGGCTTTCTTGACCCATTTTGTTAGGATTAATGTTTTTTTTTCCTTTTTGAACCACTGATTCCCCTTTTCTCCCTCGGATCTTGTGAAATCCTCCCTCTCCTTCATAGATTTCCAAGCACATCTTCAGTGGATATACACTCTACCTGTCCGAGTGAGCTGAGGAAAGAAGAACATCAAAACAATAACAACATATGAAAAGAGGAAAATAAATAACATGTGAAAGAAATAAAAGAAATGAGCAATTGCAGACCTTTCAACAAGAAGTGTATAACATATAATATTTGGAGCCTCAAGGATGCTGACTCACTATTTAGTTATTTGCACCAGTGCCTTTGTGGCTATAGAAAAACAAGGTCAAACTATGTATTTTTTAAAATGCAAAGCAGACGTAGCTTGTAGGCTGGGTTTTGTAATCCTTCAATACTGCACTTAATTTTTACAATAAGCGTAACTATTTAGTATTTAAGCGCTCTGGAATGCTACCCTGCGTGAGGGGCACTATATAAATGCAAGTTGTTGTTGAAGTTGTTGTATTTACCTGTTTGCTTTCTTGGGTGATAGGAAGTTACTCATTCCTATGTCCATAGCTCTTTGGAGATTCTCCCATTTGTACCCAAGGACTCTGACAATAAGGGACCTCTGATTTGCAGGATCAATTAGCATGATAAGTGTAAAGTTAAGACTGGAAGATGTGAAGGATGTCAGTAAGGTGCTTCAACTCATCAGTTTCTGGGGTGGATCCTACTGAAATAGAGGGCAGAGCAGATTGTCCGAGAAATCATCTGATATAGTTTAATAATGGTGTTCTTCCCTCCTCTATCCCATTGCTTCATGATATTGACCGCTCCTCATCTCATATAAGTGGTTAACAAATACAATCTAAGGCTAAGAGTAATTTTAGACCTTTGGGCTTTGCAGCTTCATTATTCCAACAGTGGACGAAAACGTGGTGACATGGACAATGCGGTTTTGTGCATTTAAATAATACTTAATTGAGATAGAAACATATTACATTGAAACATTCCTCAGTATTGCAGTAGTGTCAGCCTGTGTTATGAGCATAATCCTGTTGTGGGATTTGATCCCCAAACCTTCTGATATGCAGGAGAGAATGTTAATTTAGCTAACGTGGTTATCCTGAACCGTTGGGCTGACTTTGGTTTCTGTGGTGGTTTTGATGTTAGTACTTTTCTGCTTGTCTCTTGACTGTCTCCTTATATCCTTCTGACATACCTTGACTACCTATTCATTCTTGAGTGTCAGGTGGGTAAGTGATTGAAGTTGCTGCTTACTGTAGCCCTAATAGTACAGTTTATTCTGTAGGTGCATAAAGAATTAATGCTGTAGTTCAACAGTCTGTGAATGAGGAAATTTATTTCAGGTCTATGCTAGATAGCGACTGGCAATGGGTTTTGCTTGAGGACAGAATAGTCTGGAACCAACATTTTTGGATTACCTTAGATGGGGTTAATTTCTCGTCAAAATCATCCTCTTCCTTCCAATATCCTCGACTTCATGTTTCATGTGAGATGTGCTGCTTTATGTTGATCAGCAATTAATTCCCAGACTCTTTAGTATGGCATAAGCCTCTTGGATAATTTACTTTCTTGCTTTGATGAGCTGAAAAACAAAGCATTCCTCAGTTTGTAAACACCACAGTTGTTTATCCTTCCACTTCCAGCCCATCAATGTTTCTTTGATTTTTTTTCTGTACTTGAGACTCTGTTGTTTTTTTCCAACCGCTCCCAACCCAGCTGACAAGCTCTTTTGTTCTAGGGCATACTTGGTTCCTCTTAGAGACTAAATTTCTCAAGTTAAAATTCAGAGATGCTTTAGGATCTTTTCAATGATCCTTGATTAACTTTAAAAGTGTTTTTCCCGTTTTAGTTTCTAAAAAATTATATATTTCATTGCAGAGTGGACCAGTATATTGGCAACATGTAGAATTGTATCACAACTTTAAGCCATAAGATACAATAAAAACAATTTACTATTATGTTGTGTCTTTCACATTTGCAAGAATGTCTCAAAGCTGATTTACAAAGAATGAGTGGGCGTCCGAGCTGGGAGGCTGCGGGAGGTTGGGGAGAGGTGGCTGAAAGTCAAAGAGATAGGTCCTTCTGCAAGATTTGAAAGCCGAGGGGGAAGGGGCGAGGTTGATGGGATTTTTGGAGAGCGTTCCAGCGAGAAGGTCACAGTATCTGAAGACACCATTGCCAATGGTGACCAATGAAGGATCCTGGATTTGAGGAACCGAGGGAACGACTGAGGAGCAGGGTCACAGGAGAAGGTGGCGCAAGGCAGAGGATGCTGCTGAAAGTGAGGACAAGGAACTCAAAATTTATAACAACAATAACTTGCATTTGCATAGTGCCCTTCACGCCGAATGGCGTGTCAGAACCCTTAATAAGGTACCAGTGGAGGCTGGTGAAGCTGGGGATGACAGGCTCATGGGGTTGGTGTGGGAAAGCATACTGGCTAGGTTATGGCAAAGGCAAGTGATGCTGCAGAAATGGAAGAAAGTGGACTTGGATAAAGGATGAAAGGTTTATTGGAGTTTTAAATAATGAATAAAATGTTGAGCTTCTGAACAGAATTTATGAGCTGAACGGAGCAACCAGGGAGGTTTAGATATCATTTTACACATATTAATAATCTTATTGGTGGCACTGAATCACAATGAATGTAAAATGAAAGCTGATCCCATCAGTTACTATGAGTGGTACATTGGATGAGGTGGGTGAGAATGGCTCTCACAACTTCACAATGATGAATATCATCATGCATAAGATAATCATTCAGTTTGGTTGTTTGTGGGACATAGCTGTGTCCAAATTTGCTGCAGGATTTTGCCTACAAAATACTGTCACTGAATGTTACAGTAAATACTTTGGTGCACTTTGAGATCTCCTCCCTAGTAAAAAAGCACTGTATCAAATGCAAGGATTATTATTATAATGAATATAAGTCTTCTGAATGGCATTCCTCCAGGTCTGTGTTTTTGAAGTTTACTTGTTCTTTGCAGCCAAGAACAGTTGCCACTCATCATAAGATACTCATCTTCAGGAAGCAATGACTGAAGCTTACAGCATCTTATATAAATGAAGTACTACCTGTATTTATTACTTCAGAAACACTGTAGTGGGTTAACTTCTGCCAGTCCTTAAAGTTTCCAGCCTTGATGGTTGGCGCTTATATTGGGGACATTTCACTAAGGTTGGTAGGTTTATCAGTTAGTAGAACTGTGTGCCCATAAATGCTGTCATTTTACTGAATTTCCTGATTCTCCTTGATAAGCCAGATGGTATAATTTATCCCAATTGGGGAGAGCAGTTATTGCTTGCATTGAGTGACACCTGCTTTTAGTTAAATGATAACTTCATACTGTCAGTTGAAAGATAATGGATCCTTGTACATTATATACTCTCAAGTTCTGTCCTGCTATTTGCTGACAAATGGGAGATTGTACCTTGCACTCAGCAGACAGGATTTCCAATCAGCATTAGTAAGTTTTACTAATCAGCAGAAGGAAAACTCTACACAGTTGTATGACTTAACTTTTAAAAGGTTTAAAATCATTGTTTTTCCCTTCCTCTAGTGCATCGGTGGCCAACCTTTATGTTCGGCCAACAAAATACATTTTCTTGATTGAATATTTCTTGATTGATGCCAGAAAGCAAGAAATATTCAGTCAAGAAAAAATTGAAGACACACTACCAATCAAAAACGGACTTACCTACACTCGTGCAAATGTTCAGGGGACCACTTCTTGACAGCTACTTGGGCCACTTCCAGCCCATGAGCCACAGATTGCCCACTCCTCTCCAGTGAATGGTTCCAGTGGGCATTCATTTCCAGGTTGTTGAATATATGATCATGGGCTCTCCACTGTGCACTCTTTACCTTGCAGTATGTAGGAACCCAATTGTTAGTCGATTGGCGGATCGCTTTTCTGGAGGTAATAATCCCTTCAAAAAAAAATAATAATAATAATCTGGATACTTAATCCATGACTGTTTGTGGGACCTGCTGTGTGCAATTGGCTGCTACGTTTTGTTTTACAGTGCATTCTGTGAAGCGGTTTTAGGCGTTTCGATGACTGGATATGGCGCTATATCAAATTCAAGCATTATGATTTATTTTTAGTTTTATTATTATGAGTTAGTTTATAGAGCATTTTGATATATAATATTTTATTATTAAAGCTGGTGAATTTACACTGGCATCTCTAATTGCTCAGTTGGTCTACCAACCATGGATAAATAATGTGAATATTTGTATCTGAATTTAATATTACAGCAGCCTTAGGATATTTGACTACATGTTCTTCATTACTGTGAGTGTTCTGCTTCCTGTATTTCTATATACACCTGAATGTGACCTAAACAGCAAATTGCAATAACATATTGAATCTCACCGAGTGAAAATTCACTGTTGCTATGCACACTATCTCAAGGGTATAATTATGGATAATAGGCACCCAAGAGAAAGAACAGATGTATCAATTACTCCAATGTAGTCATGTTGTTTTTATGTGGATGGTATGCGCTTGATTTATATGCCACCAATTTAGCCCTGAATGCAAAATGTATAACACGTTTGAATTGGTGCGTCCTCTACAATTTATCTGACTGTATAATTTAATTTATAAAAAGAACATACAATTCAAACACCACGTTCAACAATTATATATATGTTATATACATATATATACACAGTATATGCAAAGTGCTTAAGTCTATTGCTGGGGACTGCGAGTTAGAACTGTGGTGGCTCGGTCCCAAACTCTGTTCAATAAGAACTTCTATTTAGAATCTAAAGTGATTTTAATCCAAATCTACTCCACAGCGTTCTGTTTCAAATTATACCTTCTCCGTACAACTGAATTGTGCCATGTGTTAGTCTGTTTTCTTCTGAGTCCAGCAGGTTGTGTGTTTAAGTCCCCATGTTGCGATTTTGAGCTCCGTGTCTAGGCTGACATGAAAATGCGGTGCTGCATGGCTGGAAGTGCTATCCTTCAGATGAGACATTAAAACAAAAGTGGATACTAAAGATTCACCTGAACAGGCAGAACATGGCACTATCTATTTGAAAAGAAAGGGGAGTTTCTCCTGGTGTCATGGCCACAAACCCCCAAGTAAAATTGGTCATTCACTTCATGGCTGTTTGTCAGTCATTGCTGCATGCACCTTGTCTGTCATGTTCATCTACAAATATACAATCACTACAATTTAAGATAAATCCTGTGAAGTAATTTTTGATGTTGATGTGATCAGGCATAAAATGCAATTATTATTAATAATAATAATGATTGTTTTACATATCTGATTTTGCAATCTTCAAAACAAATTGTTCACCCGAGTACTATATTATCCGAGTATCGTATTATCCAAATATTTGTTTTTGGTCAGCTGGGTGTGTGACACATGCAAAATCCGTCACTATGTTTTAATTCAGGTGCTCATGTGAGGGGCTTTGGCAAATAAATGTGCCCGCTATAAGGCCAACTCTGCATCCAGGGTGCTCAGGGACAGGTTGGTGTAGGCCGGAGTCCTTCTCCCCTGAAGCTGCTTTCTGTGTCTGTTGCAAATCCAAATTACTGCTTGATCTGGACTTTGCAAATGGGCCAGAGGAAGCCTCTCCCCTGCATTCCCAGCAGCTCAGAACCATAAAGGAGGATTGTTTGGATACAAGTCTTATATACAAAGAGCTCGATCTGCATCGGGACCTTGTGTCCAAGCAAATGTTGGACCACAACAACAACAACAACCCCCAGGTTCTGATAAGAATCAACAAATGGGCCTGATGTGCTTTATATCTTCCAATCAATATCGCTGATGTCTTCTCTTTAGCCATAAAGAATCATGATTCAGCACTTGGGAGCACCCACCATCATATCTCACAAAGTACTGTATCTGAGCACTATCTCTACTGCACTTACAGGCTTCATTACAGAATAGTTTTGTGAGGACCTTATTCATAAGTAGATACAAAAGAAGAAGGGTGGCATTTAAGCCAGAATCAATGATGCATGAGCTGGAGCTGGAGGCAGGTGCTGAGAAAATAGATACAGTATTTGGCAAATGCCCAGGCAAGTAACAAGAAAAGGGTGGACAAAAAGTATTGTGAGCAAGATGAAAGGAAAGTGCGAGGTTCCAAAAGAAAAGAACAAAACCTTTTCAGGACTCGCATTCCTGGAAAAGGTAAAGATGAAAAGGACCACAATTGCTGGATATTGGAACTAAAAAGAAAACCCTGGAACTATACTTATTTGTACTTTAGAATCAGACAGTTAGGGATGCAAATGTCCTTTTCGGTCCTATACATTCCAATATTTCCGTTTGCACAGCATACTGACTGACATCTGAAAGAAAAAGAGATTTCAGGAACAGATGCAATTGTAATGAATAAAATACCCAAGAGGCACGATCAAAAACTCAGAATAAATCATGCTAGTGATCACGATCCTGCTAGCTGGCTGCTGAACAATATAATCTGTGAGCCAGAGAACAAATGCTCTACCTAGCTTCAGGATGCCAGCAATGAAAAAGGTGTTGGGTTGTTTGCAGCATATCTGGATTATCACATTTTATACTTAAGGAATCTCTTAATTTCAATTTTATATGAGCTCCATTGCCTCTACTGTCCTGGCTGGTGGTTGGTTTGCTGTCTGCAGAGGAAGCAGGCCTGAGGGGAGTATTAGAGGTGTGAGAATGGATGAATAATCTATAATTTGTACATTAGGGATCAGAAAGTATCTATACAGCGTGGACAGAATCTACAATAGGCTAGGTTTTGTGCGTTCTGTGGAAGCAGATATGAAGGACCAAATGACTTTTTCTCGTTAAATGTTCTATTAACATATGTTCTATGGAGTCCTGTAGCTCAGTAGTTAGAGCACTCGCCTCGCAAGCGAGAAACCTGGGTTTGATTCCCGGCAGAGCGAAACATTGGGCAAGTTTCCTTACTCCGCATGCCTGATAATAATCCCTCAAGAAAAAAACCCCAAACAATAATAAATTGGTCACTTCAATCTACGACTGCTTGTGAGACATTGAGGTGCGCAATTGGCTGCTGTGTTTCGCCCACACATATACAGTCAATTCACTTCTGTGAAGCGCTTTGAGATGTCTAGAAGACGTGAAAAGCACCATATCAAATGCAAGGATTATTATTATTTTCTTATGTTCTGGTAGAGGGTTTTAAGTCCGTTTCATGTAGTTATTAGACTTTATTTTGTATCCATGCCATTTGTGTGTAGTTCCTGGGTTAAACAGAAAAAGCATCAGGGAAGAATTATTAGAATATTTTTTATCTTTACCTTTGTGAAGCTGTTGCCAAATCTGACTTTGAGCAAAATGATGGTAGAGTGACAGAATCAGAGACAGATTTTCCTTACAGTGATCTGTGTCCAAAATGGACAGATATACATTTGCTGACTTGGAAAGAATCTGTGTAATCTACTTCTTGAGTGAAAACAGATGGCATTCACTTTCTAGGTGGTCCTTTCATCCCTGTTGTTGTCCAGTATTGTTTCCATTTAAAACTTCATCGTTTCTGGTAGAGTTTGCTTTCAAGGAAGTTGATCAGAGCAAAAGAGGAAGACAAACATTTAAAAATGACATCAATCTGAAACAATTAAAACCAAAAGACACAAAAAAGACAGGAGGAGACAAGCTCGAACTAAAGTAATCTTAGCAGAAAGAGGAGACCCAAAAGACAGTATTGTATTTCTCACTGGGAGCTGATTCTACTGTAAACAGCAGTGTTTCCATTGCCCATTGATATTTGTGACCTCTGCATTAACCTTCCTAAGATTCCGGGGCCATTAAACCCCATTATCCTCTCTCTACTTCCTCTCAGTGTATAGGTTTCTGATGTTTCAACTGTATCCAAATAATCAAAGTAAAAAGAATCGCAAATACAATACATAATTACAGTTAGACTGAGTGATGCTCTATGTATCTATGATGAATAATAATTATTACTAGTAGTAATACTAATCCTTGCATTTATTAATAATAATCATATGCACCTTATGAGAGCATTGGTAGCATGTAGATTGTACACAAATGTCCAGTAGCACAAGAGTTTACTAAATTATATCATTATATGATCATAGTGTCTTATTTTGATGTATGATCCTGTTTATATCATAATATATAGCTGTTATATAATTATATTTTTTCCCCAGTAAACATATGTTCAAGCGTAAATCTAATTTCAAATTTGTTCCAGTTTGTAATAAATTGTTAAGATCTGTGTGTCACAATCGTGGGATTAATGGAAACAAGAAATGGCATGATCATCCAGTGTCTTGAGTTTTTGATGCAATCTTGTGTGTCAGGCTGGTTCAATTGGTAGCAATCTTGTCTCTGAGTCAGGAGGAAATGGGTTCAAACCCTATTAGACTTGGAACTTTTATGGTTTAAAAACTAAAATGAAAGATGCCAAACCAACTGTAAGGATTTTTACTATTATTATTATTAATCTCAGTATAAAACAGAAGAGCTCTGCATTGCCTTCTTTCCATAAAAAACACAGCTTAACATGTACTGGATTCATTGTAATGTTGCTTATTGTCATTTTAAAAAATACCTCTAATGAACATTTGTTTTCATTATATGCGTGTGCAGTGTGTGTGGGTGAGAGTGTGTGTGTATATGGGTTTATGGGGGTGATGGGGTAGGGAAAGAGAAATAAAAGTATGTTTAAAAAGATCAAAGTGAAATAGAAACAGGACCTCAGGCTATTGAATTATGTCAACAGTATTTATGAGTGAATCAAACAATTTTAAGGAATTTTAAACACGTGGATTCTGTTTTGTAGAATTCACATGCTGGAATCTGTAGCAGAGATCTGATCTAGGAGAGCTCTGTTTGGTTGCAACCTGTTCTTGTTTTATGGTGAGATGTGTTTGGAAAGTAGAAGGTTATCATCAGTGCACAATTTAGTTTTGGCTGTATTTAGCGAGTAGCTTAATACTGGCTGGATTTTCAGATAGAAATAATAGAGGTCTCATAACGTTTAAAAAATGGGCCAAGTAAAGGCTATCTGACTCTTCCAAAGACCACATACAATCTCGCTCATTGTGGACCTTACACATTTATTTAATGCTACCATTTGTATATTTATCCTCCCAGTGGTTGTAAAATCAGAGTACTTATGATGCTCAGTGAGGAGCTACCATTGGTCTATGGGACAAAGTCCGGAAACAGATGAACTGTAGTATTACTGACCTACAATATGATTGCCAGGCATAACCAGTGTTTCATCTAAGGCACAAACTGGTGGGTAAGTTTTATCACTGGACAAAATGTTTTCTGGTCAATCTCTCAGTTCCGGTAAAGTGTTATCTTCAGTGGGATGGACTCCAGCTCCACATTCCATTTTCGTTCAAATGGTACATTTAAAGGTTCTTCCTTCCTCTCAAAAACACCACTATCACAACAGACTGCCCAGAATCACAAATGCCGTCAAAATGCCTATAACTGCATTTATTGGAGGTGGTCACAGTGGGATTGACTAATAGAACCTCCAAATCGCATAGGGGAATTCCTGCCAAGGATCGGGAGGACATAATGTCTGACTTGTGGGCTGTCCCGCTCCAAAGCGTGAAAAGTAGATTGTGGGGTTCCCACAAGCTGATTAGCAGCAGAATTACTTACTTACAACGGAATCACTATTAGTGAATCATGTTTGATTATTCGCCTTTTCAACACAGTAGTCTGTGGGGAGGAGAGCCTCCTTATGTTAATATATCATTCCTAAGATGGAAAAACATGAAACTGTGGTATCAGTCACCTGTTAGGAGTGCACTCACTGCTGCCTATTAACACCAAAGCTTTGTTAACTATTTTGAGAGGGAATCAGATAAGTGTTAGAAGAAGAAGAAGAAGAAGGCAAAGGGGAAAGAGCCAATAATTAGTATTCAAGTGGATATCTTCAGTGAAGGTGGGAGCCCAAGTGGAGGCTTGATGGACCAAATAGATTATTCAAAGTGTTCTCATTTCTATGA